GCCCAGATCCTCAAGTCCCAGTCTCCAGGCGGCAGCGGCCCCAGCCCCTGCCAAGGGCTGCGCATTTCAGAGATGGGCGTGGACGGGAGGGAGATGTCCAGCCGCCCACCCTGGGGTCAGGACAAGGTGATGAGGGAGACGAGGCCCAGAGAGCGCAGGAAGGCCGGCAGACGGGAGGCGGCAGAACAAGCGGTCACCCGAAGGTGAGTCGCACAATGCCCCGGCCCTAGCACCGACGGCTCGCTTCCCCGGAGATTCATTCGGGAGAGACCACACACACACACACACACACACACACACACACACACACACACACACCCGGGTCAGAGATTTGGGGAGCGGAGGAATGGTGGAGGTGTGAAGGGGGCTGAGCAACAGAACCCGGGGTAACCGGGGAGGCAGCTGGAGAGTAAATGCAAGGCATGGGAAGGTGATAGCGGGAGGGCGCCTGCCTCCGGTACGCGGGCCGGGCCAGGTCCCACGCACGCCCAGCAGCACACACGCACGCATGCACGCACGCACACACGCATGCGCACACTGCAGGTACAGCCTGCCTATCGCTGGGCTCTTAGCAGGAGGCGGGGACTGCGGTGGTAGAGCCTGTGCTGGGCATGCCGGTGTAGCTCCTTGGGTTCGATCCCCACCACCAAAACAAACAAGTGATACACAAAGTGTGGCACAGTTTTTCATATTGGCATTTTACTTTTTTTATTGACATTTGAAATTTTTTTTTTTTTTAGCTAGGCTGAGGTCTGACTGTGTTGCCCAGGCTGGCTTGAACTCCTACAGTCAAGCGGTCCTGCCTCAGCCTTCCGGGCATCCAGGATTCACAGGCACACACGCCGTCATGCCTGGCTGTTGGTTTTTTGTTTGGTTTGGCATGCTCTGATTTTTTTGAGACAGGGTCTCACTTTGTAGTTCAGGCTGGCCTTGAGCACACTGTGTACCCCAGGCTGGCCTCAAACTCAAGGCGATCCTCCTGCTTCAGCTTCCCAAGGGCTGGGATTACAGGCTTGAGCTATCATGGCTTGGAAAACATACTACTTTACAAGCAGAACAAAAGATACACACGGCTGTGCCTTTACCTTCACCCAAAGTGACCGGCGGCCGCTCGGCACCACCCACAGGCCAGGCGCAATTTGGGAAACTCCCAGAGGCCCTCACCCACCTCCCGCCCATGGGACACGCGCTCCCTTCCGCGGGACACACAGGGATGGACCTTGAATTAACTGGACATCAGTCATGGGGCCCACGTGTTCATGTGACACAGCTGCCCACGTGGGTCATACTTCACTCACACTGGGCCCGACACTGCCCAGGAGTCATTTGTGGGAGGGGCATGGAGGGAGGCGGAGCCCCAGATGGAGGAGTTCTTCCCAGGGGTCTGCTTCACAGATCTGTCTTGAGCCGGGCAGGTCGTGCTCACCTGTAATTTCAGCCTCCGGGTAGGCTGAGGCAGGATTACAAGTTTGAGCCCAACCTGAGCAATTTAGAGATTTAGCAGAGCCACACTTTGTCAGGTCAGGATGGAGGTGGAAGTGGGTGGCTGGGGCCGCGGCACGGGCCAGCCCCTCATCAGCCCCTCGCTGGCCCTATAGCTGCGTCCCTGCGGCTGCATCCATCCCAGCCCCAGTCCCGGTTGAATCCACGGCACAGAAATCTCCGAAGCTCTCAGGTCCACCAACCTGTCCCCTCAGCGGGGTCCACCGGGTGCTGTGTATTTCAACGTGTGGACCTCACAGCCGTGGCTTCCACTGTTGCCTTGTCGGTTTTCCCTCCGTGGGTTTTCCACTGCTAAGATCCCACTCGCACCCTGGAACAGGCTTCGCACACTGTCTGCTGCTTGCGAGGTGCTTTCCCCTCCCCGCAACAGCCGTGAGGACCTTTGTCTTGATCCCAGGGGTCACAGCAGCCACCCTGCTAGACTTGAGAGCAGGAAGGGCTCAGAGTCGGGTGGCCTTCCTCGCTAGGCAGCGACAGTCCTGGCCCAGACTCAGGCTCAGGGGACCTAGAGTGTTAGAACAACCCAAGCCAGCCTGAGCGCCAAGGCATCAGGGCCAGCTGCTATGGTGACCCTGCATTTCCGGGCCAGGCGCCTGGGCTGCCCGCTCAGCTGTCTGTTGATCCCCAAGAGGCTGCTCGCTCCACTCCCGACATCTGTGGTCATCCCAGGCACCCGCGCCTGCACCCTCCTGGCAAGGCCTGGCAACACTGAACTTCTCGAAGGCTTTTCCAAGAGGCCGAGGTCACCGGCTCCCCAGCACACAGATGGCCGCTTATTTTAGCCACTGCTCTGCTGGGCTTGTCAGCCAATTCCTGCTCTGCCAGGCTGCTAGGTGGGAAGAGAACAGAGCTAAGCACCCCTCGCCATCACCAGGACAGGGCCCAGCGTGGGGCCAGCCTTTCAGAGTCCAGCACAGTGGCACAAACTATCATCTCAGCTACTTTCAAGGCTGAGGCAGGAGGATCACAACACAATTTAACAAGACCTTGTCTCTAAAAAGGGTTACGGATGTAATGTAGTAGAGCACCCTGGGTTTAATCCCTAGTACAGGAAAAAAAAAGGCCCACTCTTTGGGGAGTGGACTCCCTTTACCCCAATGTACTCTCAAGGCAGCCAGAGGGATGGAGAGGTCTGAACAGGAAGAGAAACCCCCAGCACCTGCACCACGGACAAGCACAGGCCTCGGCAGGGTGCCCCGAACAGCCCAGGCTCTGCTCCCCCGCCCCCGAGTCCATGAACTGCCAATTTTTTCCCACTCGGTGTCGTTTGCCATGGTTTCTCCTTAAGCCTGTATGTATGGAATAAAATTATCTGCATTGTAAAATTATATAATTAAACTCAGGTTCTCAAAGACCTTTAATGATACAGAAGTTCATATAAAAATGGAAAGTGTTGGACAGAAACTGTACACAGACAAGGCAACTTTATAAAACACACGTGAAAAATGCCAGATACGATGCCCCAGTGTTCAGTGACTGGCCGTGTGCTGGGGACCTAGATCACTCCCTATAGGTGTAAACTGAAACTTTATTGTAATGTTTTTGCCTTTATAAGACAGGGTCTTGCTATGCAATTCAGGCTGGCTTTGAGCTCACTTTGTAGTCCACGGTGGTCTCAAACTTGCAACGATCCTCCTGCCTCAGCCTCCCAAGTGCCAGGATTACAGGTGTGCACCACCATGACCGGCTCAACTAAAACTTTAAAAGCCATAAATGGGGTGGTGAAAACCCTGAGGAATCACACTGGTGGGCGTCTGCCAGAGGACGGACAAGTGCAGCTGGGACCAGACATTCAGGGCGTGACAGCAAGGAGCACAGCTCTGGCACCTGCTTCCCCGGGCTCTGCCTCGGAACACGGCCACACACTGGGAACCACTGAGCACTCTGTCTCCGGAGACCGGGCCAGGCAGGAACCCCGAGCAGAGAGCAGTCACTCCGTCCCCAAAGAGGCAGCGGGGTGGGTGAGACAGGGCCTTGCTCTGTAGCTCACGCCAGCCCCCAGCCTGCAGCCATCACCACAGGCGGGCGCCACCGCGCGCAGGTTCAGGTAAACCTCGCCCTCAGGTACGGTGCTCACAAGTGGCAGTGCTGGAACCCAAACTCAGAGCGCTAACATCACAAAGCAGGCTGTCTTCACCCACGATATCGCCACCCAAAACTAATAAAAAAGACCTATCAATTATACAATTAAAATCACTTTTTTTTTTTTAGTACCAGGAATGGAACTTTGGACCTTGGCTTGCCAGGCAGGTGCTTATGCCACTGAGCTGTATCCCCGGCCCAAAATCACTGTTGTGGTGGAGAGCGGCTGCAATCCCACCACTGCTGGAGGCCGAGGAAGGACCAGAGCCCAGAGCAGCCTGAAAAAAACACGAACAGAAAAACCCAGCAGCCTGAGCTAGAGACCCTCTCAAAACACAGTACAGCAAAACGGACCCTGGGTGCTCACACCGTCTGCCAGGAGGAAACCTGTGTCCAGCAGCCGAGCAGCCTCCAAACCCCAGGGTTCCTCAGCCAGCTCTGCCCCAGAGCCACCTGACCACAGCTGAGGGCTCCCTCTGGCGGTGACATCTTTTCTTCACAGTAGCACTGATTTGAGAGCTTGGCCTACAGCAAGCGCACCACTGCTTTGTGCCTCCAGGGGCTGGCATGCAAGATCTAAAGTGGACAGAGGCAAAAATGGGGCAATGGTGGTGGCTGTCTTCAAATCCTCTGCAAGGTCAAGAGAGAAAGCCACAGAACAGCTGCGCGTGGTGGCCTACGCCTGTAATCCCAGCACATGGGAGGCTGAGGCAGGAGGATCGTTGCAAGTTCGAGAGCAGCCTGGGCTACAAAGTGAGCTCAAGGCCAGCCTGAGCTGCATAGTGAGATCCTGTACCAAAAAGACAAAAAAAAAAAGCCACAGGAGCCAAAGTAACCTGTTAAGTGACAACTGAGGTATAAGTGACACTGAGACACTGTGTCTTGAATGGTCCTAATCGTGAGACAGGGGCTCCCTGCTGAGCCGCAAGCCCTGCGCTCCGGGTCCAAAGAACTGAGCACGAGGACAGCCGAGGGCAAGCGACTGTAAGCGCCGCCCCCCACGTCCCAGTGAGCCTCACAGGCTGTGCTGTGCAGCTGATTCTGATCGCACAGCGCTCCTGACGCGTCGGCAAAGCTCCTTGGTATCCATCTGCTGCGTTGCTCATACTCCAGGCCTCAGCCCTGCCACTCCTGCTCACAAAAACCACCTCCAGGAGGACAGAGGAGTGGGTCCGCCAGGAAGGACAAGCCCAGGCCAGGCCGCTGAACCAGGTCCCAGGGACACTGGGCGCAGTTGATCCAAGCTGGGAACCAGCTGCATGTCCACACTGCTCACCCTGCAGAGGGCCAGGTCTCCCGCTGTGCCCACAGCAGCGCCTTCGGGCTCTGAAGACAGAGGTCAGATGTAGCAGGTCTAGAAGGCAAGAACCCCTGGCAGGCCTTCCAGGTGTGAGAGCAATTACAAAACAAACAAATTCAAGGGCTCCTGACTCAATTTCTATCTATTAAGCCTTGAGAAATGCAATGGACCAGAGACAATCTTCCCACACCGGACCCCGTGACGGGGAGAAGCCAAGTGGGCTCTCCAGGAAGGGGCGCGTAGGACTGGAAGCGCCCACGCGGCTGGGAGCACACCCTCTGGGGAGCAGCTGCGACCCCGCACCACCCCACATCCTGGATGCAGCGCACGGGGACCAAGGCGGCCTGGACTCCCTGATGCTCTCGAGTCCGCTCGGCCTGCCCGCCTGCCTTCCTTCTCGTGCATCTCGGGGTCCCAGATTCCTTCTTTTATCCTGATTCCAATAACCAGGTCCTTGAAGAACTTTTAATTTTTCCCGTTTCTTCAGGGTCCAAAGGGCGCACTGCTGCAGAAAATACCCCGACAGCGAGCACCTGGCCACGAGGAAGAGCAGGGCTGAGGTCCAGCAATGGGGCTAGGCAGAGGAGCCCCAAATCCTTCCCCACACGGCGGGGGCTCACGATTCACAGGGAGAGCAGGGCCGTGGTGAGCGCGCGGCCCCCGTGCAGCCGTAAAGCCCGTCAGCTCTGCTGCGGTCCGGCTGGGACAGAGAGTCCTTGTCCTTTTCCCTGAGCAACTTCATTTTCCGGTGGAACTTGGACCTGGGGTGCAGTTTCCCTTTGGGCAGCTTCTCCTTCTCCGTGTCTCTTGCTCCAATCTTCTCTGATGCTCCAGGAAGGTTAAAATTGTAATCGGTTGTGACATAGGGAATTGTCCCCTCGAGCCCACGCTGAAACACAAACACAGAGAACCATGGAAACCCGTGGGACCCAGCTGCATACGGCATGGGCAAGGCTGGCACTCGGGGTCTCCCACACATGGCACCTGCTGCCCACCTTCCCAGCCCCGCCACAACACACCTGTGCCACTGTCTCACCTACGCCCACCGCCTCACCTGTGCCCACGGACACCAAGCACTGGAGAGGAGGTGCCGTCCGAGCAGGCAGACGCCCATGGCCTCCTCCACCCTCACCCCATGCCAGCTGTCCAGGACCCAGTGGCTCTGGACCACACCTGGCGTGGCCTGTGGGCTCTCGCTTTCAAGGCCACCCAGACGATCCACCTCGCCTCCCAGGTCCTGCCACGGCCCGTGACTCTCGGCTGACCTCGGGCCCAGCTCCCCTCGGCTGTCTCACCTGGCTCGTGAAGACACACTGTGGAATGGAGACGGCACCGACCAGCAGGCAGTTCACGCTCCTCAACTCCTCAGGGGGCACCGGGGTGAGGATGTGGTACAGCCGCTTCTCCATGTCGATGCCCCTGCACAGCCCTGCAAGACAGCCCCAGTCACGCCTCCCCAAGAGCCCCGCCTCCCTGAGAGCCCTGCCTCCCACTGCTACCCTGCAGTCATGCAAGAACAGGTGCTCAGTGGTTCGAGACCCAGAACCCCCCAAGTCTACACACACACATCCTTGGCCTCAGCAATGGATCAGGTGGGACAGGCCCTAGCACAGGGGCAACCCCAGCAGCGACAGAGTCACATCTGTATCCAAGTCACCTGACTGCAGGTGACAGAGGGAGGAGGGCTGCAGAAACCGCTCCTCTGAAAACAGGAGCTCCGGGCCACCACAGTGAGCCAGGGTCGCCTGCGCACCAGAGCCCAGGGGGAAGTGGCCAGCCCCGGGAAGGCAGCAGGTGCCGGCACCCACAGGGCGCTGGGTTAGAGGACACCTGCGGGGGCGCAGCACCGACCTGAGGTGGACCTAGAGGCCAGCAGAGGATGAGACACCCGGGGAAGGCGCCTAGGGGAAGAGGGAGGCCTCAGCCCACAGGCACAGTGGCCTGGAGGGCAGTCAGGACCTGACACCACCACGGCAGGCGGAGGCTCTCACCAAAGCCCACGCAGTCGCAGATGGGCGTCTGGGCCAGCAGGATGGGGCCCCTCGTATAGCCGTGGACATCATCCAGGATCCTGCACAGCCCCAGCCAGCTGGCATTGACCGCATACAGGATGTGGGTGGGGGCGACGTCAGAATGCGTAACCCTCAGAGCAACAGCATTGAAAGGGACCTGGAACATACACGTGCAGCTCAGCTCCCTCTTTTAACGTGTGGCTGTAAAGATTATTTCTACTTTTTGGTTTTGAGGGTCAAGGACCTTAGGAGGTAGCCCAGGCGGGCTGTGAAATGGCAACCCTCCTGCCTCAGCCTCCCAGGTAGCTGGGATACAAGTGTGTGCCCTTGAACCCAGCTTCACAGTTTTTTGGGTTGGGTTTTTTTTGTGTCTTTTTGAGACAGTATTTCATTATGCAATTAAGGTTCGCCTTGAACTCACTTTAGACCAGGCTGGCCTCGAACTCGCAGCAATCCTCCTGCCCGAGCCTCCTGACTGGTGGGATTACAAGCGCATACTACCATGCCTAGCTCACCACGTACAGATCTTGTATACCAGTAACATTTGCTGAAAAGCTGACACATTCTTGTCTAAAAAGATGCAGATGATTCAAGTCTGAGGACACCCTAACTGAGTTAAGGGGAACAGAGACTTCCTGCTAAGTCCATGTGAAACCCTGGTCAGTGATTCTTCCAGCGTAAGGAACTCAGAACTGACCCACTGCCAAGGGACGGTGGGTGCAGAGAGAACTCAACGCTGGGGCAGAGCTCACAGAGGCTCTGCACGCACATAGCCCGGGCTCGGATCACCAACAGCAAAGAAAGAAAGAAAGGAAGTCGGCCTGCATTCCTGGAGCACAAGACACACGACTGACATCTAGCTCCCTGGGGGTAATTCCTTTCTTTTTTTCAGTACTGGGAACAGGAACCAGGGCTACTCCCAGCTGCTTTTATTTTTTATTTTGAGAGAGGGTCTCACTGAGTTGCCCAGGTGGCACTCAAACTTGCAATGCTCCTGGCTCAGCCTCAAGTGCTGGTATTTTAGGCATGTATCGCACCTGCCTTTTTTCTTGGTCCGTGGTGTGGGGAACTGAGCGGCATCCCCAGCCCTTTTTGTTGTTGTTCTGAGACAGCCTCTCACTACATCACCAAGTTGCCCAGGCTGGGCTGAATTTATGAGCACCCCACCCCCGCCTCCACCTCCCAGAGTGCTGGGATCACAGGTGTGCACTACCATGCCTGGCTAACTCCAATTTTTAAAGTGGGAAAATGTTTTGTTATACATATTACTTAGAAATATACACAAAGCCACAAAAGGAAAATAAACCCATCAGCAGACAGAATCCGAAGCCCAGCCCAGGCTCATCCCAGCACACTGTGTGCGAGTGGACTCAGAGCACGGGCTGGTGTAGACTGAGGGCAAAAGTAGCAGGGGTTAACACTGGCACACGGCAGAGCACACATTCCACAAATGTGGCTGAGGCCAGGGTGCTGCTCAGTGGGAAAGCAGCTGCGCAGCAGGCATGAGGCCCTGGGCCCAAACCCTGCACCAAAATAGCAGAAAGGCTGCCTGTCAGTAATCTGACCCTTCCTTTCTTTCTCCGACACAGGAGCCCCCTATGAAGCTCAGACTGGCTCGAACCTGTGGCGCTCCTCCTGCCTCAGCCTCCCAGTGCTGTCTTTTGTCAGCCCAAACTCCAACACTGCGGTGCATCCATCCAAAACAAGTCTCAGCCGCCTGGACTCCACACTGCACACTCTGGCGTCAGAACTTGACCCGAGTAACAGGGAGCACCCTCAGAGGCCCAGGGACGTGGGCTGTGTCCCACAACCATCCTACGAGATCGATATGGTGCCGGGTGACAGGTGAGAAACTGAACTGGCTTCCCAGGGCCAGATGCCGCTCCAACAGCCCTGCCGGGTCACCCCGCCTCTCTGCAGCTGTTTTTGCATCTGGAAACGGGGAGCACAAGCCCTTGTCGCAGGGTGCAGAGGGGCCCCGAGCACCAGTGCGCAGGGAGCCGGCAGAGGCCTGCTGAGCAGCCCCACGGCCCCCACACAAGCCACGTTACCTGATAGGGCGTCAGGCTGTGCAGGGAGCTGAGGGGTTTGGGCACGGGGGACATCAGCTGGGCGAGGTAAGCTAGCACTGTCAGATCTCGGAAAATCTTGTTATGTGAGTCCCTAAGAAGGAAATCAGAATAAGACCAATAAATCAGAATACCACAGGCACAGATTTCTCCCCACACCCCCCCACTCACAAACTGAACTATCACCGCACAGCTGACAACGCCGCGGCACACAGGACCTCCCAGTGGGACTAAACCTGGGCCCTGCACACTGAGCTACATTCCCAGCCTTTCCGCCCACTCCTTCTTTCCTGCCTTTCTTCCTTGAACATTCCTGCACTGATTCATTCATTTACTAAAGTAGGCAGGGTCTTGCTATGTCACTGAATTACACAGGCTGGTCTTGAACTTGTGATCCTCCTGCCTCAGTCTCCCACCACCATGCCCAGCTTGACACTGCTTTTTGACGAGGTTCCTATCGTAACACCTTTTGGCTCTGCTAAAACACATGATCCATACATCAAAGCTCCTAGCAACCCAGGCTGGACGCCACTTCCAGATATTTCCATTGAGAATATAACTGGTTTTCCTTTATAATCATATACCTGCGACAGACTTGAAAATTTATTCTGCAGCACTGGGAATGGAACCCAGTGCCTCACATATGCCAAACAAGCACTCCACCACTAAGTCATATTCCCAGCCCAGACTTGAAACATTTCACAGCAGATTCCTTCTAAGGAAGTGATGGCATACTCCTGTAATCCCAGCTACTCAGGAGGCTGAGGCAGGAATATGGCAAATGTGATATCAGCCTGGACAATTTTTCTTTTTTTTAGATAGCATCTCGCTGTATACTTCAGGCTGCCCCTGAACTCACTACATAGCCCAGGCTAGTCTCAAACTTGTAACAATCCTCCTACTTCAGACTCCCTGTGCTGGGATTACAGGTGTGTGCCACCATGTCTGGCTATTTTTGTTCTCAACTTTTCTTCTGGCTTTTTGAGACAGTGTCTCGCTAAATAATTCAGGCTGACATTGAATTCACATGTAGCCCAGGCTGGCCTTGAACTTGTGACAATCCTCTTGCCTCGGCTTTCTGAGTGCTGGCACTACAGGGGTACGCGACTATGCCTGGCCCAGCCTGGTCACTTTATCGAGACCCGGTCTCAAAATATGATATAAATGGGCCGCCAGGCATGGTGGCGCACGCCTGTAATCCCAGCACTTGGGAAGTTGAGACAGGAGGATCGTTGTGAGCTCGAGACCAGCCTGGGCTACAAAGTGAGCTCAAGGCCAGCCTGAACTACAGAGTGAGACCCTGTCCCAAAAAGATCATAGATAGATAGATAGATAGACAGAGAGACAAATAAACACACAGAAATAAGTAAGTAAACAGATAAATAGATAAATAAATAAAAGGACCAAAGATATAGCTTAGTGGTACAGAGCTTGCCTAGCCTGTCCAAAGCCTTAGGTTTAATCCCCAGTATCATCAAAAACAAAAAAAGTAAAAAGTAAAAAAAACAAATAAAAAAATCTTCATTCAACTGAAGGAAACAAGATTCTTCAGCCAAATGGTGGTTTACTCACCGATTTCTTGGAGTTTTTCTGAATGAAAACTCTGAATTCACGCGCAGCAGTTTATGTCCCATAAAGAGAACTGGGCTGTCTTTGTCTTCATCAGCGAACTCCCAACTGCCTGTGAGCTCCGGGAGGGGGAAGCCTCGCTCCCGCACGCGGGCCTTGCTCTTGGTGTACAGCCCGTCCGTGCAGTCCACGTAGTCCGGGCTGAGGTTGGGCATCTGCTTGTTTTGGGTGGAGCTGAACTGCACCACATGGCTGGGGGCCAGCAGCCGGATGAGGTCGATGAGAAGCAGGAGGCCTTCGTCTGGGGAGAGGGCGATGCCGTGAGCAGACCTGGTTCTGCAGGGGAGGCCCACCAGCACAACGTGGGCACTCTGATCCTGAGACAAAACTCCCCTGCGGGGTATGTGGCACACGCCTGGAAGCCAACCTGCGCAGGCGGCTGAGGCAGGAGGATCGCAAGTTTCAGGGCAGCCTGGGAACCTTAAGGAGAATCTGTCTCAAAAAATACTACAGCGAAAGACAAAAACAAAAAAAAAAAAGAGCAAGGTGTGGTGTCACCCACCAAAGGATGACAGACAATCAGGGCTGGGGAGGACATGAAGCGCACTGTTGGTGGGAGTCCAGAGTTGCTCAGCCCACAAGGACACCGCTGGGGAGGCCCCTCAGAAGTCATACGCGGAGAAGTAAGGAAATAAATAAAAACAGAGCCACTGCACAACGCAGCAATCCCAGCTGCGGATAGAGATCCACAGGAAATGAACTCAGTATACAAAACAGATCGCCCTCCTGTGTTATTGCAGCCCAGTCATGACGGGATGTGAGACCGACCCCAGGAGTCAGTGACAGCCGAATGCATGGCACCCAGACCACACGGAGTCCTGTTCCACCATGAAAAGGAAACTGGACAGCTGGCCTTGGGCTGTGTCTGGCAGAAGAGCGAGAAGGCAGGCTCCTGTGCGTTCCACACAGATGGGATCCATGCTCGGGAGACCGCTCAGCCGCCCTGATCTGACAGCACATGGCACGTGGATGGGACAGCGTCCTGGGGACAGCATCAGGGCCCACACACATGCACTCTGCCAGCCGCCCTCGCCTGGGACCGCGCCTGCCTTGCAGTTACCTGTCACCCAGCCCATCGTGTTGACGATCAGCGGGGCCTCTCTTTTATAGGCGCTGAACACGTATTTGATTATATCAACGTAGTTCTCGTAGTCGTTTTTGCAAGTAGGCTTCCCATAATACACCATCTTCTGCGGCGTCCTCTGGTGGGTGTAAGGTGGCCCTGGGAAGACAGTGGAGAGGGTCAGCAGAGGTGGTGGGACACAGCTGGGTAGGCAAGCGCTTGCCTGCTATGTATGAGGCTCTGGACTAGCTCTCCAGGCCTGGTGTGGCGCTGTACACCTATAAGCCCTGTTGACCCTTGCACTCGAAAGGCTGAGGCAGAAAGATCACCTTGATTTTTTTTGAGGGCACCCTGAACAAGTGAGACCCTGTTTCCAAAAATAAATAAATAAAATACACTCCCTAGAACCAGCAGTAATAACCGTCCTAAAACTTTTTTTTTTTTTTGTCTTTTTGAGACAAGGTCCCGCTGTGCAGTTCAGGCTGGCCTTGAGCACACTCTGTAGCCGCTGGTCTCGAACTCACAATAATCCTCCTGCCTCAGCCTCAGAGCGCTGGGATTACACGTGTGCGCCACCATGCCCAGCCCTCCTAAAACATTTTGTTTGGCTGCAACAGGAACTGCTCAAGTGAGGACAGAGCCACAGCCGGCAGGGTCAGCAGAGTGTGGGGCTCAGGGGTAGATGGCGAGGAGGGAGCTGGCAGAGCTGGAAGCCTACTCACACACGAGGGTACTGGGAAACACAGGAACATGTTGAGAATGACAGCCAGGTTCCTCACTAGTGGAACAGGATTTGCAAACGCAGAGTGAAAGCCACAATAAGCCGCTGGAGCTGGACTGGAACCGGGGCCACTGTGAGGACTGTGGCTTTGTCCCTGCGTCTACAGGTAATAGTGAGACACACAAGTGGCCGGGATGTGTGGGTGTGAGGTACACACACCCGTGTGTGCACACCTCCACAGTTCCTGCCTGCTCACTGAGGGGGCCCGAAGCAGTGTACTCCAGGAGAAAGCAGCGTCCTCGGACCCGGACCTTTGCTCCACTAGGAGGAAGCAGGATGCACGCAGGCCAGACAGAGGGAAAGCGCATGACGAGTGCACATCTTAACCCCGGGAAGAAAGAGGGAACTTAAAAACGAGAAGCGAGGGCCAGGGATAGAGCTCAGGGGCACAAGCGCCTGCCTGCAAGCAAGGTTCTGAGTTCGATTCCCAGTACCAAAAAACAGAAAAGTAAAGTGTCAAAAGAACCTGGTGACAACAGGAAGCTGCTCCACTGGGCAAAACTGGGACAATCTAAGCATGAAGGACAAGAAGCCATGAGCCCAAGAGTTACAGATTTCCCCATAGAAGCGCATATACCCAGAAAGTGGAAGAAATGGTGGGACTACAAAATCACCATCTTCCAGGTGTAGCAGCACACATCTGTAATCCCAGCACCCCAGACGCTGAGGCAGGAGGATCGCCATAAATTTGAAGCCAGCCTGGACTACATAGTAAAACCTTGTCTCAAAAAAAAAAAAAAAATCAAAGACCACTGCTAGTGTGATAGGGCAGGCCCATTTTTCCCATTATACATTGAGTTTTGGGTAAGTGCTATTAAGTTTGGATTTTATAAATCTAAGACATACAAGAAACAGGCACCTACCCAGAACTGGCTCCGTGATATTCAGTAGAGAAATGCAGCCAGGCGGAGTGAATTCTGTCTGGCCCATATCACACTCCAAGTAGTCAATGCAGGGAACACTGGAAATTTTAACGAAGAGTCACTGAGCTTTACTGTACAGAAAAGAACAACAGGACACAAGGACTCTGCACACAGGCACAATCCTCTTCTCCGGCTCTTAGGTGGCACCTGCCACCATGCCAGGCGCACACAGCCGTCCCAAGCCGCGCACTTGCACCTCAGGTGCTCGCTTCCTGTTTCGTCCTTAGAGCACAGAGGGGCTCCTCCCACCCCAGAGTCCCAGATTCCAAGATGTCATCCGGACAAACGGATGGCACGACAGGCGCCACCCTCCACCAGCTCCTCGCCTCCCAGAGCCCTGTCACTGCAGGCCAAGCACACCACGAGGAGTGCCACCGTGCAGCTGGGCCGCCCGACAGAGCCACGCGGTCTGCACCTAGAAGCCAGCTGCCTCCTATTGCACCCCTGCGAGCACACCCTGCTTCGCGCCAGGACCCAGCCCGCTACCGCAGCGAGCGGAAGGCGCACTCACCTGTTTAACAGCTGGTTCATCAGGTACCTACTGAACGTGGACTTTCCCACATCCTGCGGGCCACAGACCAGGATGATGGGGCAGCCATCTGCGTCCTCTGGGAAGAGACAGACATCGGCCAGCTCAGCCCCGCCCTTCAGGTCCGAGTGAGCCGTGGCGCACGAGCACTTGGGTTTACCCAGCGGTCACTCACCGCAAGACACGCTCACTAACTCCTCCAGGGCCGAGAGGGCGCTCGCCGTGAGCTGAAGCCCTTTCCTCCTCTTTTCTCTTCTGATGCCGATGGACCTCAGGACCAAGCACTCCGCAGTAAGCTGGGCCGCTGACTTTGGAAACACAATTCAAACAACGCGACGTGAGAACAGTGCTCGTCTGTCTCTTCATTTCTCCGCTCCTAAGTCGCCCACAGCTGGGCATTACGAAACACGAATCCGCTCCCCGCTTTTCTCTCACTGTTCCCAACACCCCCCCAGCAAATCCCATCAACCCGACGCCGGCAGCTCTGACAGCTTACACTCCCTCCGCAGGAGGCTCTGGAGAAAACAGGCACGGAAATGAAAACAGAAAAAAAGACAGAAAAAGTCAATAGGGTGTGGTGGTGCACACGTGTAATCTTGGCACTCAGGAGGCTGATGCAGGAGGGATGGGCAACAAAGCCTGGGCAACACAGGGGCTTAGCAAGACCCTGTCTCATAACACACAAAAATTGGGGATGCAGCTCAGTATGAGGGCCCTCAATCCCCAGAACCACAAAAAATAAAGCAGTAAAAAAAACTAGCTGTTGTGGTACAACCCTATAAACCCAATGCTGCGGAGCCTGAGGCAGGAGACCCTCCGAGCCCAGCCTGAGCTGACAGCAGGCTCAACACCACGCTGGACGACACAGTGCCTTGAAGGAGATCATCTCCCCACCCGCCACAGGAAAAGAGCTTCACGAATAGAACAACAGTGGTGGTTGACTAAGTCCCAAGGGGACAAAAGGTGACAGTAGCTGATGTGGTACACACTGATAATCCTAGCTACTTGGGAGGCTGAGGCAGGAGGATCACAAGTTTGAGGCCAGCCCGTGCAATTTAGTGACACCTCCCCTCACAAGAAAACAGCAAAGCCCACCCACTACCTGCTCCCGCTTGGTCATGCCTTCAGTTCCGTTTCCTGTGTCCCAGGCAACGCTGGAAGAGAGCTTGTCGCCAGCCTCTATGGCCGGGAACCAGACCCCTCATGGCGTCCTCAGCACCCTCTCCCCTCTCTGGGGTGCTTCTCCCATCCTCAGGATCAGAGCCGTCTGCTCTGTACCAGGCCAGTGCCTTCAACCCATCTGAACAGAACACTCTCCCACCACGCCAGCCCCAACCACTGCTTCAGCTCTCTCGCTCCGCAGTGGATGCATCGCCACTGACCCTGTGAGCGCCTCTGTCTTCCCTCAAGTCGGCCCGCAGCAGCGCACCGAACCGCTGCGGTCCACGAGCTGCTATTCTGCTCCCGGGGCCCCCTTCTCAGGCCCCCTCTTACCACGAGCAGCTCCCGTCTCCCCGGAAGCCCTCTGCCCCTGGGCTTCGCTCACCCCGAGGCTGCTCCTTCTCGAGCTCCTCTGCTGCCTCCCCCTCGCCCAGCCTCCTCCTGAGCGCTCAAGCCTCTCCGCGCAAGGCTCCCAAGCGGACAGCCCAGGCTCTCCCGTCTGAGCCCTGGCTCAGCGAATGGCAAGTGCACGTGCTCGGACGATGCGTGGCCAGTGAACCCGGAGCTACTCCATGGCTCATTTCCGTTTTCTGCGGGGACTGGAACCCAGCCGAGGCTCCCCACGGAGCTGCCCCCAGACTCTTCACTTCTACCCTCCCCTCACACCCAGCCCACCCACTAGTCCCACAGTGCCAACCTGACTGCTCACGGGAGACAGCCGTGGAACCTGACTTCAGAAAACTCACACACGCCAGCAAGTACCAGAGGGGAGGGATGAAAGAGATGCGAGTACAAGCACATTTCAATTCCACACTGAGAGTGTAGAGGAAACAGAAACACAGAATCATTAACCAGCTGCCACGTGAAATCAGGTGTGCTGGTACGCGCCAGGAACCCCGGCATCCTGGGAGGCCGAGGCAGGAGAACTGCAAGTTTCAGCACAGCCTAGCAACTTAATGAGACCCTGTCCCATAATAAAAAAAAAGGATGGGGATGTAGCTCAGTATGAAGATCCCACATTTAATTCCTAGCACCAAAAAAACAAAAACAAAACAAAAAAAACACTCTCAAGAACCCAACTACCACATGAAGATGGCCTCTGCTGGGAACTGAAGGTGAGGAAGCATCATGTGCGGTGACCCCCGCCTGTAATCCCAGCACTCAGGAGGTTGAGGCAGGAGGGTCATCATAAGTTTGAGGCCAGCCTGGGCTACAAAGTGAGCTCAAGCTCATAGCAAGACCCTGTCTCAAAAAGACAAAACAGAAAAAAAAACCAAAGTGAGGAAGGAAAGGAGCGCCATTTTCCCTGATTTCCCCTTCTACACCAACTCTCTCCTAAGCCCAGATGTGGGTGACACTCTGTCAGGTCTACCACACTGAAGGACAGACTGATTTTTTTTTTTGGTTTTTGGTTTCTGGGTTTTTTTTTTTTTTTTCTGGTACCGGGAATCAAACTCATGACCTTGCGCTTGCCAAGCAGGCGCTGTGCCACTGAGCTAAATCCCCAGCCCCTGAACAGACTCATCTTCCAAGAGAATGTCCCACATGCTCATCGGGAACGACTGCTCTGGCACAAGTAATTGGCAAAACTCTGCATGAAAACTGGTTGTACCTCTTGCTCAAAAATGGCACATGAACCTGGATGGCTGGTTATGAAGTTTACAGTGGTGTTCTTCAGACGTTCTAGCAGCACAATGGAACACAGAGGAGAAAAATTCTTCATTGCCCAAGATCTGTCCTCTGTAAAGAGAAAAATAAAACACCTTCGAAGTAGTAACTGCTGCTAAACTCTACCCCCTTTAAGGAGGCCATGTCCTCTGCTCAACTATCATCTCTTTCAGGACACTGTATCGAAGAGTAGGAACACTTTTGAGTGGAGAAGCCAATCCATCTAGTCAACTGTGGCCTTAGAACATTTTTATGATGTGCAAAATAGTCAAAGCAATAGTACTTTAGTTCTTAGGAACCTTGTGAGAGTTAAAATCCTTGTATAAAAGTGCTCCACATATAGTCCAGACCACTGTTAGCATTTAAAATTTAAAACAGCATTACAGAAGGCCCTCATTAATTTCCCCAGTGCTCATTACCCAGGTTAAGATGTGCTCTGAGCAAAGCCCGGGCTTCCCTTTTCATGTCCTTCTTGCTCTTCTCAGGCAAGGAGTAATGGACTGCGTTGATCGTCAGATAAGAGTGGGTATAGGCAGAGAAGATGTCCTGGGCAGGCTGGCCTTGGTTGATGACAAAACCAAACACCTCCACCTGGCCATAGAGGCAAGTCATCTGACAGATCCCGCTAAAAGTAAAACCCTAGCAAGGAGACAAGAAAGAGGTAACATTAGAGACCCTGTTACTCAGCACTGGAAAATTCTAAGATCCTGACTTGTTATACACATATCAAAGGACAATGGAATCTGATAACATTATACTGTACTAAGTGATCAACACATCTTTTTTTATTTTTTTTGTCTTTTTGAGACACGGTCTCACTGTGCAGTTCAAGCTGGCCTTGAGCTCACTTTGTAGCCCAGGCTGGTGTTGAACTCTCAACGATCCTCCTGCCTCATCCTCCCGAGTGTTAGGATTACAGGAGTGTGCAACCACGCCCGACAACACGTATTTTTGATCTAAGATCATTCCATGTAGCAACGCAGCTCTGCTGCCCCCGGGGTCCAGGCTAACCCTCCCAACCCGTCTTCGCAAGCTGTCCCCTTCCCGGGTTCTCACTCCCCACCAGCTCGCAGGGGGCGCTCTCCCAGACCACAGTCAGTGCGGGGTGATCGCGGGCGGGTCACCTAACTGTTTCTTCACCCCGAAACCCCTATAGAGACAGCGGCATTACTCCAGAGAGACCTGGGAGTGCTGACGGGGTTCGAACACCTGAAACGCTCCGTGTACTCAAGACCAGACTGAGCGACCAGTAAACGCAGCTCAGTACTTCTGCCACAATTCAAGTCCGCGCCGACTGGGAAACCCTGGGGACCGCTTAGCGGAAGCCGAGCTCGCACAGCAAAACGCCGCACGCGAGGCCGACCTGCACCGGGGGAGCTCGGCGGGGGCCGAGCGTCCCGGGGCTGCGGCCCCGCCTCCAGCCCGCCGC